TATTAAACTATTTTTTTGAACTTTTCCATATAAAGTTTTTTTTTTTTTTTTTTTTTTTTTTGGTGTGTTTCAAGTCCATATTTGACTATATATGATTCAAAATTTGTGAACTTGGGATACAAATTGATATTTAGTTAACAAAATAAGATGAGGTTAATTTAGTTATTCGTGGAAAATGGAAAAAAAAAATTTATTCAATGAAAATAGATAATAATATTTTTTATAGGAATTGACCCGCTGGTTGAACCACCGAGTCATCGGTTGGACCACTGACCCGTTGACCCATTGCATTGTTCGGGTCGACGTCCGAGTCGAGTCTGACAATTATGTTAATAAGTGTGGTTTTCCATGTTTTCATATATGATGGGAATTGGTTTTTCTAGGTACTGTAGCAATTTTTTATTTTTTTTATTTTTTGGTAATGAAAACAAATTCTAAGAATTATTGTAAAAAAATATTTCTCTTTAATTAACAATTTTCATGTAAAATAAGGCCAAACGAACATTCAAAGATAGTTGAATTTCTTGATTTATTTTTATTTATTTCTTGGTTTTGGCAATGGAAACAAATTTCATTTCTAATACCAGTAAATTCCATCCATTTCATTGACAATTTTCATGTAAAACAAAATTAAACGAATATCAAAAAATACTTTTATTTCAACATTTTTCATGTGAAAAATTATACCAATAAAACACAATAATTTACAATTCTCATGAAAATAATTCTAGACAATTCAATTTATTGAAATTCGTTTTCTAGACAATTCAATTCCATCTTTACAATCAAATGAACCCTTAGTTCATTCTCAATAGTGATGAAATGATCATGTTCGAATAAACACGTGCATGGCCTGTATGGAAGAAGAAATCGAGAAGAAGGTATCAACAACTAGTTTTATTATGGGACATCTGGATATACTTATAACCATACATTGAGACTTGACCGTAAAGAATGACGAGTAAAATTCTTTAAATGCTACATACTGAGTATAAAGGATGACAAAGCACCTGTTTGGCCTCATTACATTTCATTTTTCTCTCTCCTATTTTCAATCACACAATCTTGTATAAAATAATATTACACGTAAACAAAAAACTTAACATTCTTTTTCAACCACTTCTTTGAAAAAAAAAAAGCATTATTCCGTCCATTTTTATTACTTCTTTGTGAATTTATCGAAATGTGTGTCATTATATATAGTTCATAAACATGAACCAAACATAAGTTATCAGCGATGTCTTTGATTGAAATTTTAATAGATTTTAAAAGTTTTTCTAAATTTATATGTCCCAAATTGAAATTTTTAATGGATTGTATTAAAATTCATTAAAAAATATTTGTCTCGAGTTGAGATTTTAATGAATTTCAATAAAATTCTTTAAAATCTAAGTATCCTCGATAATTTATAGATTTATAAAGATTGAATTAATAAAGGAATTTACAGAGATACACTATCTGTTTGGGAGGGATTTTTTATTTCAAAAAATTAATTTTTTGACCGTTATTTCATTATTCCAATCGTAATTTTTGACTTCTTCTTCCACAGGTAAACCCCACTTTTTTTCTAACGGTCAAAAAATCAATTCTCAAAATTCATCCCAAACGGGCCATAGATACATTTCAAGTTGAAAAACACATATGACAAACTCTCTTGAAATTTCATAATCTTTAAAGAAATTCTTGTGAAATCTAAAAAATCCTATTCAAATTCACAAAATTTTTTATAATTTATAGTCTTTTAAAATCCATTAAAATTTCACTTGAAGTCATCCTTGTAAATATAGAATTTTTAAAAGAAATTGTCCAATTCACATCATGTTAGGTATGAAGTAATCACCATACAAATAAAGCCATGTTAACGATTATGCTACGAACAACTAATTAGATTATTTAAACAAAATGTTCTTATTACAAGGAAAATAATGTTCAGATTACACAATGAGGATTTCCTAAACAATTTCCCCGATATAAGTACACATAAAGAATCGGATAATTACAACGAAAAAAGAAAAAGAAATTCATTCTTCTGTAGCTAGCCATATATTCTACACGCTGTACAAAAAGAACTACCGAGATCAAAACATATTTAATTCAGAAAGGTCATCCATGGGTATCTCAAGGCCAACAGAATCATGGTCTTGTAATCCATCCACGTCAAAATTGAACCACGTATTGAAATCCTGAGGAGCACCAATGTCAGTATCTACCCCTAGTTCCTCCATCGAGTCTAAATCATTCAGTGGCAAATTTTCTAATTCCAAGGAGTCCTTGATGTCCTTCGATGAATCCTGAGGGACATTACCAGAAGACATAAATCTAACATCCCTTTTCTTGTTGCAAATAATATTGGCCAATTCACCAGAACCACTAGCTGAAACGTATACGGGACGTGTTGTAACCCCATTTCCTGATGTAGAAAGCTGAGCGATCTTTTGCTTTGGCTTCACTTTTGTTTTGCGCTCTCCCTTCAAGCCACCCGTTGATACCCTGGAAACAGCGTTTCTGGTTGAAGGGTCTCTTTCACTTCTCTTTCCCTTAGCATTGCCCAAAATGCCAAGAGTGGATGTGGCTCTAAAGACAGCATCACCAACATGATCGAGCAATACTTCCTTCTTCTTTCCTCTATTCAATACCGGCCCAATTTTAGCGCAAGTCTGATCAGATAGATGACTTGAAGTCTCAAGTGCATCAGATAAACAACCATCAGCAAAACGGGACAAGCAGCCTGTTAAGAAAAAGCATATTAGATACAGCCTGTCAGGAAATGAACTGATGTATTTATAAAATGCGAAAGGTTTTAAAAGAATGTCAATAAAATCACAATAATACGGCATTGACTTTGAGGCCGTACTCGACCCTTATGACCCCTTAAACTCGTGATTTAGCAAATAAAATAGACCATTCCGGCTAGTTTTACCCATTATACCAAACCAACTCATGGGGGTCTTTTCTGCCAAACAACAGGCTAACAACATATTTCAAGCAAAACCAAAGCACAGAGAGATAAGAGACTCGGAAGCAAGCAGTTACCAAAATGTAACTGCTTAAGCATTGTTGAAAACAAGACTAAGTGGCATATGCTCACCATTAGCAACTACAAGGTCTCTACTGGTCAGCAGCTCTCCTTCAGCAATCTGAGTCGGTGCAGCATAAATGGCATCACGAAGTGTGGGCTCAGCAAAGCAACTTACTCCTGAATCTTCAAATTTCCGACACTTATCAAGTGTTCTCTTGGCAAAAGCCAACGCACCTTGTTTTGACACCTTAGCAATCCGATGTTTAGTAGCGAAACTTCCTCTAGTTGCCTGTCAAATAATTCAAGAGATACTCTACTATTGAACCTTAACGACAGATTTAAAATATGACATTAAAGGAAAGAATTTTACAGAAAGTCTAATTATCGTAGTTAAAATTTATAGTGCACAATGTTCAACTTCTAAAATTTAATTTGTTCTTAAATTTATCCTAGCAGTTCCAACCTGACGTTGGGCTGGACCGATGGATAGGTGGGCCCTTCCAATCTAGCCCGCCCAGGTTGACATGTCTTATACTATCTTTTGTAACCTACCTATGAAGCATATTAGCCTCCGTTTGACTCTCATTTTTTGGAAATGAAAATGGGTGGAATAGTATTTTTTTTTGAAAAATGAGTTATTAAAAAAGAAGGAAAAGTTTTCGATGTACGTGTAATATTATTTTATGGAAGATTGTGTGACTGAAAAATAGGAAAGAGAAAAATGGAATGTAATTTAATGGGGGCCAACACATGAGCTTAATCTTCAAGTTTTCACCCAAGAACAAACATTTTTTGCCCAAAAGGCTATTGTACAAGACAATCAAGTATTACAATGCCTGACATTCAAGTATTTCAATCAAGAAACATCATAGAGGTGAGACATTCAAATTTCAACTAACAAGAAATTTTTCTTTTTCCTGCATAAATTTTAAAACAATAATTCCTTGTAATTATAAAAGATTAGGAGTAACTGTGCTTCAAGGGCCATTTCTCAAATGATCCAACACTAGATGATCCATGAACTCCACACAACCAATAAACGTAGACAAAAGTGAACCATGCACATATCTGTACAGCTAAACAGCACATTAATGCTCTGTAGATGATCAACAAAAAGCAATAAATACTTGCCAAAAGTTTCTTGTATGCCAACTCTACAAGTTTATCCATAGCAAGCTGCTCAGGATCCCTGCATATTAAGCATAATGTGTTTGTTATAATAAGATTTGAGCAAAAATTTGCAATTATTGGCAATAATAGGAAGATCAAATGCTCGCGAACAAAATCCAAGTTTAAAGTATTTACCGTAGGTCTACATCCTTGCCTTCTTCAATAGCCTTGCATATTTTATCCAGGAACATCTTTTTCTTTCCAATCTACAGTTTCAAGCGTAAGTAAGAGGAATACTCAGTATAATTTAAAGGACAAATCTTAGGGAAGAATAACGATCGGCAAAGGCTTTAGATGGGTACTGGTAGGGAAATAAAGGTACTCCTAAATGGAAATGGTGGTGTAAGATAACCTGCTGATGGAGTCCCCTCTCCAGCTGATCAATATCCTGATTGATTACCTTGTCCTCTCTGTCATCCAAGGCAGGCTACAGTAGGCATCCCAGTGAGAAAATAAAAAACAAATACTTAAATGAATAAGAAACATAACCCAAGTAGCAAAGAGAAAAACCATGACACATGTAAAGGTTGCATTTGTCGCTTAAACAAGCAAATTATTGATAAAATTATTACATTAAATTCCAGAGAAAAATGAGGAAAACGGGGAATGGGAACTTATGATGAAAACCTTTTCAACTTAAAGACGAGAAACGTCACTTCAATCTCCATTATCTCCCCTAAAACAATAGCTTACCACAGTTTCTAAAAACAGGCCAACACTTTGCAGTTCCAGTACGAGTTTGTCTTCAAGACACATCTGCTCGTATTGGCAATCAATGGAAGAAATGCTATAATTTGTTGACTGTAAACTTTCTGGACCATAATCACACCTTGAAAGTCTAACCAACACTTCCACCTCTGAATGCACATATCCACTATCCCCTTGCAGCAATTCTCCATTACGTGTATGATGTCGAACATTAGGGCTACTGTCATAATCAGCATTTCCATTACAAGAAAAAAATATGTGTGAATTACCATTTTTCGGAGTTTGGACACCAAAAATTGTCTCACAGAAGTCCAGTCTATCTCGATATCTACTTTGAGTATCAATAAGAAGGCAGGAATCAACAGGAATAGTACTTGGTCCTCCAAACCTATTTTCTTCAAATTCTTCAATTTCATCTTCTACAATAAGAGCGGATAGTATTCTTTGGTAAAGTGGCGTAACTGTGTTGTGTCTTCTCTCTGTGTCACGGTACCCAAACAAAGAAGAATCCTGTAATTGCTCAATAAATTCCACCATATCAGAGGAGTCCTTTGTCCCAGTTTGAATTGTCATTTGTTGATTTCTCTTACCAGAAAGAGAATCAAATGCTGACTTTTTTTCATGGACATCAACCTGATAAAACAAGAATTCTTTTGAATTTCAGATGAAGCAGATCCACAAAATAAAAATAGAGGCAGAACCTGTTCCCTCCAGTAATTTCATATTATTGTAATCTAAAGCCAAGAGGCTGAAAGGGCCAAATGATGGCGTTTTATTGTTTTATGTATTCAATTATGCATAGAATATTCATATTGAAACTATATTCAAAACAATCAAAAGAATAGGAGAGAAAAGAAGAGCTATCACAGATCATAAACCAATTTCACCTGAACGTCATTGCCATGGCCAGAGAATTGAGACGGACTTCCACACTCTTCAGCTAATTTCAGCTAGTCAAAAACAACAAAGAAAATTCAAGTCTCAATGACCATTTAAAATTAATCAAATAAGAAGGTGAGCTATATTGTAACACATTAACCGTTAAGGTAGTCACCTCTTGTAATAAGTATGATTTTTTGTCTGTACTAATAGAGGTAAACAATGTCTCAAATTTCTTCCAGAATGGGCTTGAACAGGCAAGAACTACAGCAAGTAAAAAAAATTCCCAAGATCTATTTGAGAAAGAAATATAATCAATACGAAAGAAAAACAACTGAAGCTAAACACATACAGCTAGAATTGCAAGCCATATTCACAGCTGTTAAGAGCTCTTCATGGTCATCCTCTGCTTCCCCTGAAAAATCATAATGCATCAACAAAGTATTTCACAATCTTAAGAATTTCAAGAAACAAAAATCTGTTTATGTGGGCTTCTTCCATTTATCTCTGCTTGCCTTTTGTTTGAGGCAAGCAGAAATGTCAATTAATCCTTCATATGACACATAATTCAAGCTGGTAAAAGTGGTTTTAGTATGACTCTGGAGCCCCATAAGTAATTCAGCTGACTTCAAACCTCCCATATACATTATAGCTTAAAAATTCTCAAGAACTGAGGTATAATAAGTACAAGAAAGCAGTAGCTGATCCCTTTTTAGACCAGCATAGTAGCTAACAACTACGAGAGATAAATGACAGACAAAGAGAGACAGATGAAAACTAATAAATCGAACAAGGATAATGCAAAATCACTTTAAAATGTAGGAGAATAATTCTGATAATAAATTATATTCAAACAAATACCATTAAAATCAGGAGAACCCCCACTTGCCACATGGCCAAGCCGAGAAACGCCTTTGCGATCTGATAGCTTCTTCAAAGTACGACCTGATTTGCTGTCACAGTTTAACAAAAATCCCCATGAGATAGAGGAAACAAGAAAATTTCAATTTAGGCATAATTTCTCCTGTTATGAAAATCTCAGTACCTTCCACTCTTGTCACAACCAGATCTCGCATTTCGCAGTGGCTTGGCAGGTGTTGGATTGTCCAGCTTCTCTCTCATTGATGAACTACTAGCCCCAGAAAATGGTGATACCCTTCCATTCTGCCCTTGTCTCCACACACCATCACCAATTTCTTCTTTAACCACAATTTTATTTGCACTCGCAGCTTTTTTGTCCACATAGCCACTACCTATAGGTTTCTTCTCCATTCCGTTTTCACCAGAACCAGATTCATCACTTTCAGACAATCTAGCAGGGGATGAAACATTTCCAGATTTTGGATTGAAAATTTGGATTCCATTGGCTGTATTCTCCGAGAGAAGAGGAGGATCATTTCCACTAGAGCTTAATCTGGCACCAAATTCTGTAGGAGAGCATCCTTCAGACTGCAACTGTACTTCATCGTGGTTTGACACCGACAGAGGATTAGTCCTTCTTGTACGAGAAATCTTCTGTGGCCTCTGACCAGCCCATTGAGTCAAGGGTGGAGAAGATGATCCTGCAGGACTAGCCCGCTTGCGACTGCTAGTCCCATTAAATGAAGGGTTTTTGCTTATGCCTGGGGGTTGTTCCCAGCTCTCCATAGTTCCAGACACACGAGGAACGTTAGAAGCTGAATTGTTTGAAGTTGCAGAGCCAGTTCGGGGAGCCCTCGAGGCCTTTCCTTTAGTTATTGGACTAGGGCAAATTGCATGATTGTCCTCAAGGGTATTCAACCTAAAAGAAAAATCCAGTAAAAGTATCATCACCAGAAAATGGAGTGTTTAGGGCAAGTACAAATGATGGTTAGCTAAGGATATAATCTTTTCTGACTCTTAGCATTATAGACAGAAAAAGTTTGAACGCACTTAATATTTCCTTTCCCCGATACTCGCTCCTTAGTTGCTCCAGCAGAAACATCCCTTGAAGGAACAGATTTTTCAGGTTCATTTTTTAGAGTTGCACGAGCACTAGAACTTGCAGGGGACGAAGAAGAATCCAATTTGCTAGTGGAACTGGCACCAGTAGGAGCCCCTGATCTGTGAAAACATGTTTCAAGGATTTAAACAGTGTTTATTGTGTTTCAATGAGTAGCTTAAAAGATTTAACTCTGAAACCTATTCTCATTTGTCAAGAAAATCGCACTTTCTTTTCACCTTTAATAACCAAGTGATCAACCTAACACTCCGTGCAAGGTAAATTCAGTTTGACGAAATCAAACCCAAACAGACTGAATAAACTACTTTTGCTCATCCCAGAAGTTTAGAAATCATAACAATAAGTACACATGTTGCCAGCTCAACTTTTAATTGGACTAAAACATTAAATTTCTTGTGAACATAATACCTTAATAATGTAATACACATAATTGTTTTTTCCATCGAGAAACAGTCAGTGTGCATCAATAACAATGAAAAGATAAAGAAAGGATTCTTTTTCAAAATGTTTAGTAGAAAAATAAAGAAATAACCAAAAATGGATTTGACGATATGGACGCCAATATAAATTCCATGATATACTCATGTTGTCAACTGTTTTTAGCTAAGAAATACTATTCTAAATTTTTTTTGAAGTACGTCAATCCATACTTGTACAAATGAGAGATGCATCTCCAAAGTTTCATAATAGTATTTCTTCTAACGCCATAGAAAATATTCTTATAGAAGCATATGAATTTTCAAGGATAACAGTTCCAGACTTTAAATATGTAGTTGAAAGTTCAACTCAGTAATGGCTCAATACAAGCAGCATCATTCAAACAAAAAGAAAGATACAAAAGAATAAAGGAAATGCTGTGGAACCATGAATCTTTACTACATTATATGAATGCGGGTACCTGAAACCGTGGGAGGAATCGCAGGATAGCAGGCTGTGCTCATTGGCAAGCTTATGGTGTGCATTTTGTTTTGCTTCCCCATCATTGCCAATGGGTTTGGAAAAAGCTGCACCAACAGAGCGCTTCCTTTTCATTCCCTTCTCCCAACCCTCTCCACCAGCAGGCAATTTCCTTATCTTTTCCTCAACCATATCAGAATCTGCATTATTATCTTTAAGCATATCTCGGTCTTTTGACGCCACCAACGGCTGCCGTGGTAATCCATTACCACGGCATTCGGTCTGAGAGAGGGGGAAGACATAATCAATTCTCAAGAACATTAAAAAATATAACAAGGAAAGGTTATTCCGCAAATCAAAAGAAATCTGGAAAATGGATAGGTGAGATTAAACAATGTGAACGCACTAGAATATATCATGAAAAGTAAATGTTTATTGTACCAATTAAATTTTTAATTTTTATGGATTGTCCATCTAGAAATGTCTGTTTAAGTTCTCGTACTTTCTACTTATGAGTGAAAATGTTTGTAAACACACAAAGAGTTGGGTAGATCCTCTCTTGCTTCCATTCAATATCACATTTCTAACCCCCTTTCTCGGTTACAATGACACATATAAAGGCAGCCAAAGGAAGTGAAGCCGAAATAGCCAAAGCAAACAGATTGAAAATGAGTGTGCCTCTCCTATCTTTTTAAATCAGAAACGAGAATTAAGTGTAGGAAACAATAGAAACTCAACAAAAACAAAGTTCAATTATCACAAACCCGAGTTTCTGCCACTGATGTGCGCACACGCTTATTAAGAATAACATTCTTAGGCCGATCCTCGAATTTCTGATTTCCAACTTCCAATGAGCTTCGGTTCACCTGGGTTCCAATCTTCAAGTTTGAACTACCCGATCTTTCATTTGTGGATGGTTCTTTTCGCTGCAGCTTCTTGGAGGTCATACCCTCAAAATATTTGTTCAATTTATTTAAATGCTCATCCAACTTTTTTGCTCTGCCACTAGTCAAAAAGAAGAATGCAACATATTCAGGAACAAAAACAAAAAGAAAGAATTTAAAATGTAAAGATATGCTGAAGGTAGCTACATATATTTCATGTTTACTAATTTATATCAAGAGCCAGTTTGACAATGTTAGCATCAATGCAAACAAAATAGATCTTAAACTAATTCAGGTCGGTGATAGATGAATAAAACATGTTAACAGTCCAATAAAATATTCATCACCGAGACAGGAAATGCAGAGAAAGACATGGGCAGGATCTCTAGGGTGTTGACTAGATAACTTTAATGTCCAGCAGATCTCTGAAAGAACAAGATAAAATGAAGAATAAAACTTACCTGGCTTTGACACGAGTATCTGCAAGACTAGCCTTCAATCTCTTTAATTCGTCCACAGCCACTGGAGATGAATTCTTCAGATGACCAGCACCGAAGGAGTAGTCTTCTGAGCTGCAGCCAACAGAAAAGCCCAGAACCCTCCTTAACTCACTGGACCGTGAACATTTTTGATCAATCATTACGATCGGCTCCAGCAGCAGACATTGAGACAATGCAGGTAAATCCCCCGACAACATAGCACTCCCCCTGGATGTAGCCTTCCCAGAACCAAACATCCTACTCTCTGCACCCTCTCTGAAGCTTCCAGACCTATCCAGTACCAGACTAGGATAACTCCCTCTTTGCCCAATTTGATAATTCCCTGTAAAACTAGATTCAGGGCTAGCCGAAGTCAATTCGAATCTCGAATTTCCAACCATTATCAAAACTCAGTGTCAGATCACATATCTACAGAGCCTTCCCCTCAAAAGTGAGCATTGGAAGTAAATCTACTTCAGCAGATACAACTTTATGGTACCTAACAAGAATAAGCCATTAAGAGCAAGTATGAGCCAGAGTTACAGTACCAACTTTCAGAAATTAATAACAATCTATCAACTCATATTTTTTATTAGTTAAACTCCATACAGGCTATTATGGAAGGTCGCTGGAAACTTGAAAGAAAAAATCAGATAGAAATATACAATTAGTACTCCACTAAAGTGGACAAATTTTCCTACTGAAAAACATCGGATTTAAAATTTTTTGGAGATCACTATGATCAGCAGTAACAATTTTGAACAAAATACAATTTCAAATATGTAAACTGTACTCGATGTCTATAAGAATTATAGACCACTTGAAATCAAAAACGAAAACTGAAAGCCAGAATTCTGCTAGCGATGACCGTCAGTACACATTCAATGTTTGAATCTCTTCTCAATAAATTTGTATTTCTTAAAAAAACTAGAACTGTTTAAATTTAGCGCATACATAAAGAAAAAATTGAAGACAGAATACAAAACACAGAAAAAATCCTAGCTTTTATGCCACTGAACTTAGAATAAAACAGACAAATTCAATTACAAACTAATGCATAATCAACCAACCCAACTATAATACGTCAACAATTAATCCATACGCCTAAAACCCTAATTTAAGCAAAGTAAAAATCAAGGTTTTATCCACGAATCCCCTTCTCTTAAAAAATTCAACACCGAGTGCACCAAATTCAATCCAATTCAATTACGGTAACCGTAAGAGAAACAAGAAATTTACCTGCATTCGTTGATCGAGCTGGATCGAAGAGAGAGAAAAGGACAATGGAAGAAGAGAGAAGGTAAAAGCTCGACGACGGAAGACGCGCGACTGTAATAAAATAGTAGGCTTCGTTATTTATTATTTTCGCCCTTTCTTTGAATTTCTTTTTCTTTTTCTTTTTAGTTAGGACCAAATAATTACATTGAATCAGTTGTTTGAATTTTTTTATTCCTATCGTTCGAATTCAATTACGACAGTTTGGAATAATAAAATGCTAATTTATTTTTTTATATATATTTATATTGCTAATTTAGTCATCATCAAGAAATTTCTTCTTACTTATGGGATAAGTTTGCAATTTGACTAATGACTATGGTTGACTACTGGTGTCTCCAGGGCATGTTGGAGGTGACGTAGCATTTGTTTAGATAAACAAAAGGGAAAAATTTTACTTTAATTTATCCAATAAATCAAATTTTGTTTGTATTTTTTCTTAAATCAAAAGTTTTATGGTAGGAAACAAAATCTTGAAGGGGAATTCCGTAAATTGATAAATAGAAAATAAGAGTTGATGTAACTGTCCGAAAAAATTATTTTTGCCTAAATTTAACAAAAAAAAAAAAAAAATTGTTTTGGGGGGGGGGGGGGGGGGTATTTTTTGTCAATTTCTTGGACGAGAATATTCTTAAATTTCGTAGCCTTATTTAACCTGTGAATTTGGCTTTGAATTTATTCTTATGCTGTTTGACGAAACTTTTGGTAAAATATTTTTGCAGATTATAATACAAATTGATGTAATGTGAGATTGAAAGATGATAAAAGTTGTGGAGTAAAACATTATTTCGATGCAGGCCACGAGAGTGGTATCAAATCGATGTAAACTCTGAATACTAGATATGACTTCAAAACAACAGGTATTAAGGTTGACCGGTGAGGTGATGAAAGATATGCTTCATCGTCGAGAAGAAAATAACCTAGATCGCCAGCTAAGACCCATAAATCATCGCTCACTAATAAAAAAGATAAGGCTGTAGATACAATCAGGAAGGTGGTTTGCATAGAAGTTGTCACCCCTAAAAGAGTGAGAAATGGCTTATTGATTGAGCACTCTTGCGCCGAAGATGGACGGGCTAGGCAGACATGAAAATGTATGGTTAAAAAGTTGATAACATTTTTTCAAAATGTTACTATAATATTTAATAGTACACATGTTTGATTTAAACATCTATTTAAACTCTTCAACCTTTATATTTAGAGCATGTTTGAGCTTCATATTTGCCTCAAAATGTATTTTGAAATAGTATTTTGAAGAATGTGTTGTTAGAAAATAAAGAAACATTTTGAATTTGTGTTTAATATAATTTTATTGAAGAATGTATGGTTGAAAATAAGATAGAGAAAAATGTATTTTGAAAATAATTGTGAGCAAACAAGGGTTTAGTGTCGGTTTCATGCAGATTTTTAGAGAAAAGATTTTATGAAAAATGATTTTTTTTTAGAGAATTTGTTGTTAAAAAATAAAGAAAAATTCTTGATCTATGTACAAAAATATTTATTGAGAGCATATATGATTAAAAATAAGTTGTAAAGAATCTTTATTAAAAAAGGACTAAATTATTGATTTTGTATTTTTTGTATCTCGAATAGGCAAATGACATTATAACAAAGATGTCTAATGAAAACAACAAAGCACAAACCAGGTCATGCGAGGAAAATGCAGGTGATAAAACTAGGCCTATGTTTGGCTTATTTTTAACACTCGAATAACTTTTTATCAACATGTTTTAAGGGACCTACAAGTAGGGTCGGCTCTAAGAAATAAGAGATCCTAGACGACAAATTGTTATGAAACTCTTAAATATTAATAAAATGAACACGTTTAAAATGAATTACTTATTTTTAACTTTCATAAAAATTAATTTATAAATTTTAAAGAAACTTTATAAGTTTAGCAAAAAATTATATGGAAGATTTCCTTAATTTTTTTTTTCGGATTGAATTTTTTTTTCCCTAGATTTTGGTAGGTATGGAGAAAAAAAAAGGAGCAAGAGATAAAACTAGTCAATAGTTTAATCATAAGTCCATTTTATTCACTAAACCAAGAATGTAAGTTAAATAAATGTCCAAGTATTTTGGGTCTCTTATTTAGTCCCATGGGAAATTTTGGTATCTACATGCTCTAAAAATATGTATTCCAAAAATACTGACACAACTTTAAAATCACTCCATTAAATGGTAAATAATTTGGAAAATACTACATACCATACTCAACCTCAATGAACATTTGTAACTGGCGTGATACTGAAATAATTCCTTGTGATACGCTGACATTTAATGACTTGCCAAACATATTGCATAATTTAGAATGCTTGAATTGAGGAGTAACGCATCTCCAAATTTAGTTGCATCATATCATCATCCATTTCGTTCATCTCCTAACCAAGAGATCAAGAAATTGATACGGCCGTAGAGATACTTCATCTGTCATTACTATTTCGGTTTCAAAGGGGTATTTAAGTTGTAATTATATCTGAAATCTTCATGCATGGTGGGGTAATGTGGTGTAAATTAGCGTACAAAAACTAGGAAAAAATAAAACTATGGCCACGATACACATCCTAATCATACTGCAATAATCGTTGTTCACGTTGGCTGTACGTATCATAAGAAATACCATTACCGCAACATCATGTGTTTTGTAATGTAGAAATTCAATCTTTTCGTAACACATCGTTGCATGTTTCAGTTGTATGTATTAACGCTGATGATTGTTGACCATTTTCACTCACATACGTCTGTATATTGCAACACAATTGCTCAACGAAAACACCTTGCGTGAAAACGTACAATAACAGCATCTTCGAAATTTTGATTGGTGGGGTGATCATAATATATAAGATTATAACTTCAATGTTTCATGTAATGTGACCTTAGATGTCCCCCATTGGTTGGAATATACTGGACAACAATACTTGCTGTTAACCTATTAGCAAACTTTTTATAGTCGAAAAATAACCCTTTTGCTGAAATGTGTCGCAGATAATGGATAATGTGCACGTGTTTGTAATTAACAGGGCATATACTTTTGGAATGCTAGTTCCTATTGGATGCAAGTACGTTTACCTTGTGGAGATGATAATGAGTGAGATGAAGCTTGATAAGAGGGTTACAAGACTTAAAATTGAGTACGTTGCTGACCTTGAGATGTCACCAATATGGATTGTTCTAGATGCCTCATTATGGGAATTATGCTAAATTGCTGTGTGAAGCGGCAGGTTTCCGTGGATGTGGAATTTAATTGTTTATTCAAAGAAGAAAAAGGAAGGGTGTGTTTGGGGGCATCCATTCAGGTCATGAATTGGTATGCAAGATGAGTGAAGAGATTGACAACTTTTGCATAATACTACATTTTTTGAAGTAAAAACTGAAAAAAAATAAATTATTATATAGTAATTAGTGAAATTATTTTTAAAACAAGATGATGGGCATAATTTCCTCTAGTCCCATTTTGTTATTTTGTTTTTGCTTTTTAAAAGATAACATGGCCCAATTCAAAAAAAAAAAAAGAAAAAGTAAAGAAAACTTTTGTTAGACTTTTTGGATTTAAATTTTTTTGAGGCCCAAGGCAATGACCTAGTTTGCCTTGGGCCTGGACCAAGCCTATCTACAAGTAGGGAAAAATTCACAATTAAAGTATTAAGTATTGACAATTCAATTCTCATGTCTAAAGTTTTGAAAATGCAAAAATCAAGTTTTCATTTTTTAATTAAATATATTTTATTAATTGAAAATCATAAGGTCACATTTATATCATTAATGGTCACAGGTTCATAATTATAAGTCACAAACTTTTTTATTGGTTATGTATTATCAAATTAATTGATCACAGATTATTTCGAAGTCACAAATAAAATTTTTTATATGTCACAGTTTATCTATCTATCACATATTTTTGGATTTGTTGGTCACAATTATCAAATTTTAAGATCACAGATAATTAAATAGTCAGTGACAGGACAAATAGTTGGTCACATTACATACCACCATCACCTCCACAGCCATCACCGCCACTTTCCACCATCCTCACCCCTGTCACCGTCGCCGATCACCATCTTGCCACCAACACTACCACCACTACTAGTTCCACTACCAACAATAACCATCCAATTCCCCCGACACAACTGAAACACGACGACCACCACCGCTCCAACAACAACAAAACCCCACAACCAGAAGGTCCACACTCCAAAAAAAACGGCAGCGGAGTTTATAGCGCCACCATCTCCGGCGGCAATGGACAAGGCTGCCGCTGTTGAAAATCAAACCGGTGCTCACATTCGCGAGTCCAAGAAAAGGAGGCATCGTGCTCCTTGCAATAGTGTCGATCTCACATCGGAATAGGCGCCAGTCTTCAAAGCGTCGTCGCCGCAGTGACGATATTATGAACATTGTCGGTGATGAATCTCCTATGGCGATTTCAGAATTGTTATAGAGAGAAGGGATAGTCTGTAGAGTGAGAATGAAGAGACGGAATTGAATTGGGAAAATGATTAGGGTTTTCAACTGGGTGGATTAACTATATATAATACCTGATTTTTGCATAATAAATTTTACCCCTGAATTTTGAATTTGAAAGTTTAAGTACCTGGGTTTATGTAATTTTCACCTATAAGTGCTATAACTTATTTATCATTTATTTATGGCTATTTATAATTTAAATTGTTTAAAAATAGCTATTTATAAAGTTTTAAAGATGTTTAAAAGTCCGGACATGATAAATCAAGTGATTTTGGTTATTATGAGTTAAAAAAAAGGTTTAATTGGAGGAAAAATACTACTATTTGCCTTTGGGGTGTGATGCAGCATCAACAGAAATAATAAATGGAGAATGAGAAAATCAATCAACAGGAAGAATCAGAAGAAGGGATGGTAGAAGAAGTATCCATAGCAGAACTACTAGAAGAAAGATAGGGAGAAGAGAGAAAATTGCCACCAGCCACCACATTAATTTTATTCAATCATCAACTACTGAAATTACATAGCAAATTAGGTTTAAATAGTAAAAAACAAAATCCTAACTAGAATGGGTTTGGGCCAATACAAACTCAATTACATAAATAAGAATCCAAAACAAAAATAAAGTGCACAAGACAAA